ATKKTGGATSAGGAGGTTATTTCTCMCAGTTCCTCCTYGTCCTGTTTTGTCTGGTGCAACAGCTGTGAATCCATTAGAAAAGGATGACACATTAGAAGGTCATTTTTGCTCTACAATTGCTTGCAACCAAAACAATGTAATATCTTCATACTCACAACCATGGAAAAAATGGTAAGATGTAGGGGACCAGTTTCATTACTGCAGCTGCTGGAGGGGCACTGCCAAGCCTGGGAACACACTCCCAGGGAGTGACCCACTGCTCCCCCAGCCCCACAGTGTGTCTGCAATCTCCCCCACAAAATGGTTGAAAACAGAATGGATAGAGGATAAAATGAGAGGGGGTGGAGACACTCAGCTTATTAGTGAAACCGTGATGACCAAAAGTTTAACAGAGCAAAATGTGCATCACCAGAGGACTTGTGACATCCAGGAAAAAAGCCCTGGCAGATCTGGTACGTGCAGCTGCATTTGCCACTCACYCTGCAGCTGAGTGATTAAGTCTCCAAACAGCCCTTAACCCTCTTCCATACCAAACACAACTTTAGTCCTCTGCACATTGCATGTTTAAGGAACTGAGAGCATTTCCAAGATCTTAACTCTTGACTTCCAGATGCAACCAGCCCTCTGCCCTTCATGTCTTAACTTTACACTCTGCCAAAACRTGAACACTATTTAACAGGTCATGTTCTAGAGGTTCAAAAGAGAAGGAGCTCCTGGGTGGCACRGGGTGTGTTACTGCAGCCCTGAGTATCTCTTCACAGCCTCTCAYATGCCCTGGGATAACATCTCAATAGCTGGTGCAGTGGTTTTTGGGAAAGGATGTTTAGCAAGCTTAAAAATAGGAAAAGGAAGCTGGATGAGGGCACATGTAGTCTCATACTCTCAGAGGCCGGAGAAGAAATACCTACTGGGAACTGAGCAAATGATCTCCCAAAGCTGGGAAAAATAAATATGCTCTGGCAACACAACTTTCCTCCAGCAYCCCTGGGAAAAAGATGGGGACTTGCTTGTTGGAAGAAAGCCAYAGAGACTAACGCGGGGAAAGGTGGTGGTTTACACCCAGAACAATTTGAAATGCCTTTCTTTGAAAGCTTCCTCTCGAGTCCACCCATGTTCCTTYCCCAGCCTGGAGAAATCTCTGGAAAGTGCTGGAGCAGGAAGATTTGCCTCCTTGTACAAGCACTCTCTCCTCCCCAGCAACYACAGTTCCCCCTACCCCAGCTCTCCTGAACCTCCCACAAGGTATTAAAAAGCAACAACAGACAGCAGGCTCTCTCCAGCTTGCTATATTTAACTGCAGACCTCTAAGCATTCCTCCCTTTGCACTCCTCTCAAACAGTTGCACAGAAACACAGAGACTGAGAGTGCTCCTCAATGCTGTGAGGAGCCCCAAGCCCAGGTTTGCTCCCACTGCCTCCGGGGCTCCTGCACTGCCACGTGTGCCATAAAAACCACCGGAGCGCGCACAGGAGGAGSAAGGGAACACTTTTGTTCCTCTGCCCCAAGAACTCAAGGTACTAAATGTTAATACTTGGAAATCAGCAAYTGCCAAGAACAAGTTCCCCACCCACCCATCCACCCTAAGCTTTGAAGTGTTTTCTTTCTAGCTTACCTTGGCACGCTGGCCAAATAAGTCACAAGTTTCCGAAGGTCTTCCTGCCTTATTCTGTCATGATTGCTGCGGGCTGGGAAGGTCAAGACAGGACCACCTCGTTTATCACGGCCACCTGTGGAAAATAAAGGATTGTTAGAAAATCAGGCAGGAAGCACATGTCAAAAAAACTATGTGCACTGAATTGATAAATAGAAATTACAGCACATTTAAGAGTCCGCACACTCGATGTAGCTTGCAGACTTGCCTAATTGAGGAAGACAAGCCTGCATTTTCTGGAACTCCAAAGGGGGGATATAAGAAAAAAAGAARAAGCCCACACAAGGAAAATTGCCACTAGCACTTCTTCTTTCACCTAATCCCATCAAATCTAATATAGTTGCCAATCCAATCAGGCAATGCTAATGAAATTCTACTGTGGGAATAGTTTCAAATTGGTCAACACCAAGAAAGTGAAAGTATTTTTCACTGTTGTTCAGTATGTGCACTGTTCATTCCAAGATCATTTACCACATCCTGCCAGTTTGAAGAGATGTATCGCAGTAATGCTCATGCAGCACAATGTTCTAATCCATCAGGTAATTYATTAAAATTRAAATTCATGTCTGCTAAGCCTTCTATTTCTAAAATGTTGTCGGCAATTGGAATATTTGTTTGGCAGCTTTCCCTTAGCTTTCCTGTCCTAAAAAAAACCACTTCTTTTAAACTGTCAGTGTCTGGCCCTTCATCTTTTACAACAATTGTSTAAAGGCTTAGCCATAAAGGAATGRCTCTAYCCTGAACTATGCAATCAGAAATACAGAGGCAAATACAATATATTCCACAGSACTTTATTTTAGTCTCTCCTGTAAATAAAGTTTAAGAAGATTGAAAATGAAATCTAGTGCCTCATTCAGTRTTTAGCTTTTTCTTCACATATTATCTCAGGGTTTTTTCCAGGAATTGTTTGTTGTTAGATACATGTTTTTGCACTGTTATGTAGGAAAAAGTTACAGCTAAACTACAGCTCAAAAGCTAGCATGGAACTGAAGGACCTCGCAAACATGCTGCAAAAATGCACATGAGTTTGCACTTCTCAATGGAAAGTATAATCCCTTTAACAGAAATATCAGTTCTGAGAAAGGAAAAACATGCTTCCTGAGCTAATTTACTTGGCCAACAAAAAGAAAAAGCTACACAAGGACACGAACATCTCCGGCACCAGTCCATGCTGCATTTTCTCATTAAGAACTCGGGACACCTGCAGTCTGTGCTATTGGCACATTCTTGTTACTATATATAAGTTTTCTTAAAATACAGATAATTTTTAATTGCTAAGATGTGTTTAAAGAGTCTTCCACGGCACTGCTGCCTGTACAAGACAGAGTCTGTTACATAAAATTCATCTGTGCAGACAGAAATGCCGCTGGTACCCCACATCACAGTTCATCAACCTTCACATTCCCATAATTTTCAGTGGATGCAATACACCTGAAGGGCTGCACTGAGCAAGTCTCCACTGGAACCAGGTCATGTCTGATTTGTCCAGGGACACAAATGGAGAGGCAAACAACAGATGTCATCTTTATTTTGAGCCCTCATGCAGACAGGGGTACATATGGAGTACAAAAACTGTCCCGCCTAATCTCTACCCAAATCTCTGTGCCTCCTATTTGCCTTTGGCTTCACATCATGAAGGTGAGGAAGGCTCACTGGAATTCAGTGTCACCTTGGCTTATCCATGTCTCTGCCACATAGCATGAAAATGGGGGCATAATGTAAAAAAGGATTTCATTTACAAGGAAATAAATTGATTTAAATTTTCAGACATTTAGCAAAGAAAAGCTTCCTCATTTTAAATGCATTCTCCCTTTGTTRAGATTATTTCACACACCACATCAATGCCAAACCATTATATCATGCATGATGTGTCCAACAGAGAAGCAAGCCAGCCTATAGAATTGCAAACCAATACAGTAACTAAAGCTGGAGGGAAATACTTYTTCAACACAAGAAGCTTTTCAAGGTTTTGAAAAATTTCCCATCATATCAACATGTAACCAAGGCTCTCAAAAGCTTCCAGATATTTGCTGAAGCAGAGACCTTGACTTGAACTGCATCCCAGAAGTACACACTACCCGCTACTCATTCAGGCTCCCTCTACTCCTCCATTCCCAATTATTCAAATATTTGTACAATGTGGAAAAGCTCTAAGAGTTGAGAACAGAAGACATCCAAGCCCACATTTATAATCCTCTCCCAGGATATTAAACACCTGGAAAGGGCCATGAGCTTCCCATAGCACTAATCACTCTGATGCTACCCATTCACCTTTGCTTTGTAAATCAAAAATTGTGTTTCTGGTCAGGGACCACTTTAACACCCAYCACTCCACCAAAGTGAGCTCTAAAAATAAATAAATAAGAAAACTGTGTAAATTTTGGTGGGCTGAAAACACTAAGTCAGAAATTTCTTGACCCTTTTAGTCACAGCAACACAAGGATTCCAGCTASAGAAAAGGAAACAGAATCCAGAACAYTCCTTGTCTTTGCTTCAGGATAAAAATTGTCCCTCAGCAGTACATCTAAACTGTCCTCAGGGGAGCAGCATAAATAAGGCTCAGGCACAGGATCAGAAGATACCAGGACAGACCAAGGAAAATGGGTTAATTCTTATTGGAGGAGGAAGGTTACACAATGACCCAGTTGGAGGTTTCTGAATGATGGAAGGATAAATAAGTGACTGGACTGATTCTTTCTAATCTTACAGCACAGAAAAACAAGGAGACTTGGGTAAAATATCAAGAGATGTTAAGTTTAGAAACAAATGTTGCTCATTTTTKATAAAAGTACAGCTCTAGGCTTTGAGCAATAGAGTGAAATTATGACAAGTATATCATACATATTAGAACCCTTCAATTGCTTCCCTCAACTCTATGTAAYCCAAATTACTGAGAAATCCTTCATTTTTACAAATGCCTACATAATTTACAATTTTATCAAGAGCCTGTATAAAGAAACATCAGATTTATTCTAGAACAAACCACTGTGTGCTTAATTCACSATCAGACTTGCTGAGTTCAGTCACTGTGATTTACTCTCTTAAATACTGATAATATGTAGCCTTTTCATTACATTTTGTAATCCAAAATCTCAACTTTTCTAGGAGGACTGAAGGGGGTATTGCCACCATCAAAGATGTCATAGTAAAGATATTCATCCTCTCTAACAAAGCCTGCTAAGAAGTAGYAACAGACACTAAAAAAGAAGAACATCTTCTGGCATTGGCTGCACAGGGAGTCTGTCTATACCACTCCACTCCTTTATCTTTTTACAGAGAGGAATAGTAAAGTCCTGAGAGGGGAAGAAGTTCACACAGTGAGTCACTTGAAGAACCAGGAGGAGAAATGAGGTTTTCTGACTTGATCCACTGTGTTAGAGCTTCACAGTGCTTGAGACTCTGTCTCTGCTTAGTAATCCACTCAAGGAGACAAATCTTGCCCCAAGTCAGCCATGATCTGAACACCAATTGTAATGCACAGTCCTCAGAGAGCAACTCAGCATATTGTTTTAAGACAATAAAAATTAGCAGGAAGCAAGGAATCTCAATTGCACTAATCAATAAGTCCCATCTCCTGCCTCCCCCTGGACTCACAGACATGGGATGCAATAATCAAACATGTCATTAGGTTTGCTAATTACAGTTATTAAATGCYAAAACAAACAGCTGATAATTTCTAACTGTTTTTCAAGTTGGGTTTTCATGAGCTTTGCTCTGATTTAGAGACACAAACAGATGGTCTGGTTATTAGTGCTCTGGAAAAAAAAGAGTTAGAAAAACACATGTTCTTCAGGGCACAGAGTATTCTGAGAACAAATATTCAGCCATATATGCCTTGCATTTCTCCTACAAAATCCTTTGTTGATGGCCTTTCCTGTCAGTGGCTTCCTTGCCAGTTCTTCCCATCTCCCTTTCTTCTATCCTGTAAGAACCCATGGCTTAATTCAGGTTTTATTCCCAGCAATAGGATCACATCATTTTTCCTCCACAAATCATCCAGAGGACATTGCAGTGATGGCACAAGGCATTGAGATGCATACCACAGTAAAAAAAATAAATAAAAACCTTAAAGGAAGGTTTTCTCAGAAAATCTACAGGCAGCACAGTCAATGGCCATCTGGGGACCACTTTCCCAGTCAAGCCTGCAACCAAGAGGAGAGACTCCAGTGACAAGATCCCTGTTCTGGCAGCTGCCTGACCATGACACCTCTCAATGGTGGGCCCAAATGTTTCTCCCTGTGGTGGCCCCAACTGCCCACAGCTAAGCCAAGAAATTGGCCCAGCACAAAGTGTTACTGATAGGAACTCTGTGTACGGCTTTACCAGTCTCAAGTCCTGAGACACATCCACGCCTGTTAGTACACAATAAGCTGAAATTCCAGCTATGTGTAGTCCTTTTGAGGACAGGAAATTATCAGYTTCCGTTAATGCAGCCTTCTTGTATACAGCAGATCATGATTTTATCAAGGATGTTTTCAAGCTGCATCTCCCCAGTTCTATCAGCCCTTCTACCACAATCCTTACCTGCTTGCAGTGATCCACATTTAAGGGTTTCAAGCCCTCTGCTTCTTTTTTCATTCTCTTGGAGCATGAATTCACAAGGATTAACCAGAGACACAGGCCAATGTCCACACATGTAAAGGTTCCCAGGAACCTTGTCTAACATCCTGCAGCACTCCAGCAACGGAAACAGGAGCAGCACACGGTGTCTCTGGCCCCTGTTCAGATGTCTAGTGCAGTTCAAATGAATGCACCACTTCATCTGACCCTGCAGATCATAGGCTGATCAATTTTGATGTTGTAGACTCTGCTGAGACCGTAAGTGAATTTCCAGAGGAGCTGAAAAAATCTCCATCAGGTATTTCAGTCCAAAATATGGTGAAAAAATGAATTACAATGAAGAGAACTCAGAGACAGACGGAGCTCAGCTGATGGCCRGCACCTCAATACAGTGATAAACAATACACTCTGGATTTCTAAATCTAACTGACAGACTTCCTAGGAACGGAAAGTATCAAGGAATTGGTATCCAGAGTCTTAAAATAACATTCCTTTCCCTCTCATAGCTGAGCTGTG